TACGACTCCAAGAGAATGACTAATAATTCCGAACGTTGGAAGATGGGAAAATCGCAATGGCTTCTTCAGTTTATACTACTTCGACCACGATATTTGAGCTGGCATTTGGTTCAATGTCCACTCCATAGCTTGTCAATAGTATCTTCCTCGGTCTGTTAGACAGGTAAGCGGAACACCTCACAAGCACACACCAGTTTCTCTTTCCATTACCAAGTGGCGTTTCCCAGCAGAAGACCGAGCAACAAAACACCGCGATCTCAACTGCTTTTTAGAGTCACAAACATGATTTAGGTAGCAAAATTATGTTGCGCTCACTGGCATTACTTTCGTGTGCGGTCCGCTGTCTAGTGATTGGATTTCAGCGGCGGTATACTGATGCACTGAATAGCAGAGGAACATTTACTATGCACTCCGTCTTTATTGTCTGACACAACAAATGGCAAAACCCATAATAGCCCCATTGACTACAGACCAGGTAGACAAACCCATATGTTTCATTGTTTCTCATATGCTGACACTACGTTGTCAGGAGACTCTGTTGTTGATTTTTCGACACATTGGAACTATTTCGGGTAAATTTCAACATAAATCAGTTTGATTTCACAGTCCGCACTTTCTAGACCTTAATTGTGTGGTATCTTGTGCAGATTTCGGAGTGCCGTTTTGCATACTAACCATTTTACCTTACCTTTGCGACATTTTTCAATAATGCCGAGAACATCCCCTTGCGGTTCCTGTTCGAAAATGGTTGACAACAAAACAAACGACCTTACATGCTCTGATTGGTATAAAAGGTCTCATGTTTCGTGGGTGGGATCATTTGCCCATTTCTGTGGTCTTCTGCTTTCCATTCAACATGATTCCATTCAAAATGTTTGCGACAACTGTCAAATCTAAGGCAGCCAGAACAGCGTATGACGTCTACGATGCAGATCTCACACAAAAACATTTGGCTGTGGGCGGTTCTGGACATATCTTTACTCAAATGGGCCTAGATTCCATCGAAAATTCAACCCAGCCCTCCTTCCATTATCCTCCGTCTGGCAACTCATTAGCTCAACAGCCTAATATTTCCAGAGACACGACCCCGACTGAGGCTAATGGTTCATTGATTTTGCGCTCTGATAGCTTTAGAGCCTCGGCCAAATGTTCAATGCTTGAGAAATCATTGAAAACTCAACGAGGGAACTGGCCGCAAAACGAAGAGGGCCTTTCCGCTGCTCATCGATAACCGACCAGGTCGAGCAACGCTGGAAGCTACTGTCCTCCTGAAGGAATTGCTTCGAACGATTTAATCAAGTTTGATGCTTTTACGCGCTTGAGTCCACGTCAGGCTTGCTATTATCACCATGTTGTCTTTACAGCATAGGGTTGATAAGCTTCTCCATACGGATGAGGAGAGACAATACGAGAAAAGTCAAGTCAGTATAAGCTTTATGTACCCAACTGGTTGCATTCTCAGCAATTTACATTTTACATTCTGCTAAAGGGTTTGTATTAAAATGTTAACTTTACAAATGGGCAGAAAAATGCGAGTGTGCGCTGTCAAAGATCGATCGAGCAAGGACACCAAAAAGCTTAATTAAAACTTCGAAATTTTTATCCATTCAAAACAGAAATGGTTTAATTAGAACCTTACTTCAGAATGCGTTTCAGTTGACGTAGAAGTTTTTCTCCAAAGCCAGTAGATCGGGGATAGTGCGTGATATCTCATCGTTTGTGTTCAATAGGTGGATAGAGTAGAGGGTCTTAGTGACCTTGGAATTGTATTACACGAAATCTCTGTTAGCATAATCTTGCAAGACTGACATATATGCAGTAGTAATGTAAAAACTTATGTTCAGCGAAAATTGTAACTGCTGATTTAAAGGCCCTGCCCCAGCAAAGTCGCTGCTGACCAGGACTGACCTATGCTGGTAAATTCTGCCCACAAGGCCAAGCAGAGGTGAACACCATCCTGGCTGGGAGGAGGCGCATTCGTCTGGATATAGATCAAACTGATCGAGAGCTCCTCAAGTTCACCATCATGGAGGCGAAGCGGAGAAACAAGCAAAGAGAAAATACCCACGCATTGTGAATATTCGGATGGTCACAACATGATTGTGAATTAAGATAAATCGGTTGCTCACCCTTTGGGCACGCCCCGCGTTTGCGTGTAGCCATTCCCAACGTCTTCGGTCTTACAAACACGCGATTTGTTGTGACTCTTCGTTGCTTTCGTGCGACCAGACATAATTGGACTTGCAGAGATATGAGTGAACGATGAATTAATCACCCATGAAGTTTAGCTTATTGGCTGCTCCTGTTTCCGACCATAGGCTATGGAATCCGCACGATGGTGTCTTGCTCTATATTTGGCCTTCTCTGTATGGGATGGTTGCGAGCGTCGACCGAAGCAAAGATAGCCTATTTGAGCAGTTGTGGTGCTTGATCCACCTTAGTTGCTGAGAGCTGCATGTGGGTGCATTTTTCACCGTGCCACAGTTCGTCTTTTGGATTAAACGTCTAGTCTCCAGGACCACATGCATCGCCCCTACTTTCTACTAATTAACGATCCACATTGTCCTCTAGTACTCTGGTATGAAGTACAATTAATTCCCAAAAGCTATCTGGCGGAGGCGAAGTTCACTGAATGCTGCTTTCAATTGCGGCAGCACAGCACATTTGCCAACCGACGCGCGTAACAATGCGAACAGCTCCATCATGCTTAGTCTTAAAGTTAACGAGCTGTGAAGGCACCTTGTAACATCCGGACCCTGGAGACCCTGACAACCAAAGACCACTCAGATCTTGTTGACAACTTGGAGTGGCCGCTGCAACAATCTCACGTACAGCAGCCGGCTTAGCACAAGCTGGAGACAGATTTTGAAGGCCCAACTGAAGCCAAGAGCTAAGTAGACTGATGTCTGCTACAATCTCCATCTGCTGAAGCTTGCTGGTCAGTTATAAAGAAGAGCTTACATTGGTTGTGTAAGCAGTTGTGCTTCTAGTGTCGGAAGTTGTACCCATAAAGCCACCTTGGTTCGAAGAGGAATATGGTGAGCTGGCTCAGAGGCGGTGGCTCAGACTATAAGACTATTTTCTTCTCAATGGCTTGGTCGAACTCGACAGCCTGGATTGCGTTGTGGAAAAAGTGTATCAACGACTCACCTACCTTGACGGTGTCAAGCCTGCTGCGTCTGAAGGGCTGCACCTATTGATTCACAAATCCTTACTGACCATCACCTCGGCTACTGTAACTGACCTGTTAAAAAGGTTTATGTACGAAGGTACTTTGCCGGTTGACTAGAAATGCTTGGTGGTAATACCTATTCCGAAAGGCTGGGACCCCAGCAAAGCAGGCAATAATAATGGCATTTCTTTTGACACCTATTTTGGCCAATGTTGCAGAAAATTTTGAATAGGTGTTTGCTAAATCTCTTCCGGTCAAAAGATCTGCTGCGTGCACAGTTCGTTTTCCGGACAAGTCCATCATGCATTACCAACCTGTTCGTGACGACATATGAGTAGTTACAGTCGGTGAAGGAAGAAATGTCTGTCGACCTGCTTTACATCGATTTCAGCAAGGCGTTCAACAAGGTGAACCATGAAGTCCACCTCCACCATCTGAGAGTTTGTAGTGTTGGTGGTTCACTGTACCATTGGAGTTTCTCCTTGAACTTTCGACAACTGCAGCCTACATTTGCAAGACCTCAACCACCATTCCAGTGGGTCTATAGAAGTCCGCCTCCTCGTCAACCAATCCAGGTCGGAATTCATGAGCCTGTACAAGGATGGTGTGGCCAGACATACACCCGATCGCCAAATGCAGCATCTCACACCTTCCGTGAAGGATCTAGGCGCACTCTCAGGTTGCGAGTTGAAGTGCTTGGGAAACACAAACAGGTCACACCGAAACGGACTGTGCATGCTCTAGGCATTCAAGCACAGCTCCTGCATATACTCTGAAGAGATTATCAATCGCATCCTCTCCCTCCCAGCATAAGACCGATGACATAATACTGCGAGGCAGTCTATTACCCGACCACCCAAAGCAAGGCTATGAGATCAAACGGGTTCAACCCATCACTACTAGGCTCATGTCTAGTTTGCAGGGCTTACTGCAAAAAAACAGGTGCGAGAGACTGAGAGACTGTACACACTGTCCTATCGTCGGTTGCAAGTCGACCTCAATATGACCTACCACATTCTACGCTTAGGTTACTTGGCCACCCTGGGGCTAAACTGGCAAGTACCTGCAGCCCACATGGGCACCAGTACAAGTTTGTGTTGCCAGAGCTGAAAGGAGTTCCGCATACACCGTGTTTTCCACAGCAAGTGAAAACCGTCTAGAAACGGTTACTAGGCCAGATGGCGGAAGCAAACTTCGTGCAACTGTTCCAAATAATGTTGAATGTGCATTTCTCCGGTGTCAGATTTCAAGAAGGATTCACCACTGACGTCACACATCTGTGAGTTCTAGCTTACTGTGAGTCACGGTTTATTTCACGATTCTACATCTCAACTTGAAGAACGATCAAGGGGTAGCGAACTGAAGATTTCCTCGTTTGTCTGGGTACGATGTGTAAAACATTATAAAAATACAATTTTACCTTCTACAAAGGCAAAGTATACAGCATTCTTGTTGGAACTTTGACTAGGTGTGTTTGAGTAAACCAGACGGATGGCACTTGGTGCGCTTCCTTCTCTCCACTCTGAAGGGTGCTCTCGAGGTCCGCGTTGACAACCCCCTTTCTCTCCCTAGCTAACATCAATTTGCCGTGCATTCTAGTTAGTCGGAAGGTAACTCGCGACAATGAAAGTTTCATTCGCTGATTTGGTTGATTTTTCGGCCTCTTCCTAAGGTGGGAAGAAATTGGGTATATAGCGCTCGATCGATTGCGGTATAACGCTCTTGATAGGTTATAGATATTTTTATAAGGTTTTTGCTCACATTTTGATTGAATTGTAGAGACCATAACTTTTACTTGTTCTCTTAATACAGTAGTATATATTCAATACTCTAATGTCCTTAAGACATCGGAATAGCAAAAGTCAGGTCAAAAACGGATCATCAGTTCCAATTTGCTGGTAGCCACAACTCGAGAGAAAGCGGTTTCAGGTTGGTGCTGCACGTCTTCGCTGAAATGTTCAGCAGTCAGTAATATCGATCAGTTCAGTAGTTATCATTGATCTATGTTCGTTTAAACACAAGACACCGAGATGTCCAGTGGTCAGCCGTGTTTACAACCTGTGGTAAGTTTGAGTTAAATCCTTGGAGTTTCCGCAGCCTGCGAATGAGCCTTGGTATGAACGGGTGCATAACAACAAAACATTATCGTCCACCAGAAGATATGTAGGTCACTTAACACATGCTCATTAACGATGTGAACAGGTGGATTATAACGATCCGGAGTCTCCCTTAGACGACTTGGACTTCCGGCTAAACGCTGAGTACAATCATCATCGGGAGTGGAATAAGGATTTACGTCAGACGGTATTTCAGCGAGAATCACTACGGATATTGAACGATGATGAGCTTAGAACACTGAAGCTTGCCGGGGCAAAAGAACTTCCTCCCTATACATGCAAGGAAGAACAAGGGTAAGTGGAGTTCCAACCAAGGTGTAACAATTTTAATGATTATTAACCTAAAAGCTGGATACATTTGTGGTGAATCAACTCATAATTGAAGTAAGCAAGTAGCACCAGATCAGACGTAGCTGGGAAAAATCCACCGGTATCCAGCAGTCATCTATAGAGCTTCATCTTATAACCAATATTTTTTCTGAACTGCCGCTTTGGCTGTCATCTTCAAGGAGGATATGCATCCATTCAAAGCACTGATGGAAAATGAAGGTCAAATTCCAACACACCGTCGCTAAGCTCACAAACAGGTTTACAAGTTCAGCCAACGACTACAGCTTCAAATGTTTCAAGTTCAACTGATCTTCGTCCATTCCGTAACACTGCAAGGAAGAAGTGAGCTACAAGAGAGGTAAAAGTCACTTGCACCATCACAAGCTTAATGCTGAAAACATTTATGTTCCGCCCTCCGCGTATGAGCTTAGGGTAGCGAATCTAAAGTTTATGATAATAGGTCCAAGCAGTGGTACTCACTACCAACGTCCCGATATGACAGCTTTTCTCAAATTCAGCGGTATTCTATTCCTCGTGGATTGGAGCATATGTGATGGAGGGAGAAATGGGGACATCATACAGTTTTGAGGGTGGAAATACAATTTATCGAATGCCTATATGTGTGTTGAGATCTCGAGAGATGGAAAGAGGTTAGTTCAGTGCTGTACGGTCCAAGGCGTTCTTTCGGCGATCAATCCACGAGTTCTGATCATCCACTGTTATATTCCATTTGCCTGGGCATTGATAGAAATGCCGTAGGTGGGTGCAAGTAAACCATCTGACAACATTCGAAATCCGTTGCACGTGGCGTAATATTAATATATTTGTAAAGTGGACAGGCGATTTAATTTTCGGTTACAAACAGACAAAACATTTTATTGAAAGACTTGAAGAGGTTGTAAATGGATTGAACTGACTTTACCTAAAATTGACTTCCTACCTGTTGCGAAGAAGCCCGTTGTGCTGTAATTGTTATCTGCTGCTCTCTTGGATACACGGTGACGCCGTCCCAAAGAATATTGCGATGATTTAGGCGCTGATGCGCGCTAAAGCCGGTGTCATGCGTTGAACAACAAACAACAACGACAACAGCAGTATATCAGCCATTTGCATTGATGCTTCGCTGCCATACAATCAATATTACCTAGGAAATAAAGAATAATAAGAGGGAGAGAAGGGGACTTACCTGAAAACCTTAATGCCGTATGCAAACATTCAAGGTCAAGGCGCCTACACCTTGTGTAGACAACATGCCGTCACAAACAACTGGCTATCATGCAAAGATAAGGCGGCATCGGCGAGATGGCTTCCTTACCGATTTCACTGCCACACGTCATAATCAGCCGTTACCCCGCAAATAACTCAGCATCAAATACACTTGAACCAGGCAATCCGATAAGGAGACGGCAGTAGACGCACCAATGCTGTCGGTTGCGAGCCATGTCTTGTAAAGTCTCGAGCCAAGCACAAGGCTAGTCACATGGACTTCAGCGCGGAAGACGAAACGGACCAACGGCGCCCACTTTGATCGTCAGTGACTTCATTTCCCGCTGCCAATTCAACTTCTGTCCACCTCGAGCCTTGCGCCAACCTACATCAGGCAGACTAAACAAGGCCCTCCTCGGTAAGCATTGACCAGGCACATGTACTACGTGCCCGCAACTTATTCAGTGCTATCTGTTGTTCTATGGAGTTAGCATGATTCTCACTACTTAGTACTTGCCTGCACGCATCATCTTTGCAGACACGCTGGTGTCATCCGACACCAGCATGCTTCGCAGACAACGATGATCAAAGACTTGAAGACGCCTCTGATCTTCAGACCGAAGGGGCCAAGTCTCACTACGCTAGAGCAGAACGGCCCTCACTGTGGCCATGTATACACGGCCTTTCAGACGGAGGGAAACTACCTTCTGTCACCAAAGATGCCGCAGGTTCATGAAGGCAGCTCTGGCCTTTGCAATGCGTGTGCTGACGTCAGTTTCTATGCGCCCATCATTGCTGATGCAGCAGCTAAGATAAGTGAATTCCGCCGAACGTTTATGAAGAAGCTTTGATTTCTTACAATGTAGAAACGAGGCTGGAATTAAAGCATCATCGGTTACCCAACGTTATAGGCATTCCATACCAAACATGCTGGCTTTTTGCGGCAGATGACAGATTCCAAGTGTGTGTAAGGGAACAAAACACATGTATGGAGTAAACACAACGCATATTTCCAACCACATCTGCTCCAACCGACATGCGCCCAATGCCCCAAGTGCGCTTTTTACTTTTATTGCTCACCCGAATACATTTTAGCAGCAGCTCTACTGTCAACAGTACACCAAGTAGGTCTTTCGGGCGCGTCTTCACGTGTCCCTCTACGAAAATGATTAAGCGGACACTATGATACTGTTTAGAGACTGTGCTGCACTCTGTCATACCAAGTCAAGCAAAATTTCGTGCGGATGTCAGATATCAGTTGCGGCTTTCCCAAGGAATCATTTGACTTGGCTGTTTATTATAAAAATTATTGGGAATCAGTGGTACGAGATTAAAAATAACCGAAGCATACCAGCAATTTTGCCTGTGTTACTCGGGACGGCAAGTTCCACAACCTGCCCTGCGACATAAGTGTCAATACCGCAACCTCAGATCTAAAGAGGATTATTTGACGATTCAGCCATTCACATGATGTCAGTGCTCCCAAACTGCGACACTTTCCTGTATTTTACCCCAATTAATTTTGATTCCGCCGCCCCATACTATCAGCAGCCTTGTATTAAACGATCAGACAGTTTGGGACTAAAACGATTGCTAACTTTTCAGTAGAATGGCCAGTAGAATGGTCAGCTGGCTGACCATCACACTGAAGACAAAACGCCCAATCTTATGATGTTCTGCGGATGTTCAAATGACCAAAGGTGAATATAACAAATAATACAGGAACTATGTCTGTTGTACTACGACCGCGATATTGTGGGAGATGCGTATGGACTCCAACTGCGCGACGACGAATGTGGGATTATTATAAAGTCCGGATATGTGTTGAAACACCTAGCCACGATAAGGCTATGAATTCTATTTTGTATCTCAGCAATTCATATAAGCCCTGTTTGATGGATAAGGCATTCGCAAACATCGTTGGCCTCTCTATAATCATTGGTGCACTCACAAAGTGGACTTCGGCTTGAGAAACCTTATACCGTCAGCCCTACTGCTCCTTTATTTAGTACTCACTGAGCAGCTTAGCGTGCGCCATACGGTTTCCGGTTTTGGTAACACTACATTTATTTTGGTTCTTTCCGGTCACTATCGGGCTCAGTGTAGATAGATGCTTGCTCTGAAAGAAGATTGCGCTTCGTGGCCGACCCGCAAGAATAACGATGGATGAAGTCGCAAATGTTACGTACAATACGAATGGAATTTGATTCCTTTTAGGTTTAGCGAGATAGGCCCAATACACTCGATGTTAAACATGAAATACATGTGTGTTTTCAATAGGAAGATAATCAGCAATCACTGTTCACTTTTAGCTTTACTTATGATCTACATAATATTCTGTCCTCTCAAAAACTGACACGTCTCAGGCTAAGGTGGTTGGAGGATTTTCAAGTCAATTGAGCCTTCTGCAAACGAAATGCTACATTTCCATCATATAAACAATCGCTGTGGGTAGAGTGAAAGAATATGTGAGGGAAAAGTGCAACAGGGAGGAACAAACTAAATTCTATACGCAACTATTGCTCACACCATTGTTATGCTTAATGTTTTCTTTGAACGTAAATAGATGCGAGATACATTTGGTAAGACAACGCTAAGATGGGATAAGATGCGTGAAAGTCAAACTTTGCAATGTAAAGGGGTTAGGGAAAATTGTTTCGGAATCTCACTGTGTAATGGACTTGAAATAAAAGCGATTGTCAAAACGACTAATGGCAGTAAAATCAAAGCATCTCTAGATTAATTGCTAATAATGCGCTTCCTCGATCCCATCACTAAGGTGTATTTTCTGAGGTAGCCCATGGAAGATGATAGTACGGCAGCATAGCCAATTCGGCGAATACATAAAGTCACCTGATCACTCGTAAAACTAATAGGTATTGAAAGCGTCTTAGAACTGAGCTCGTTACGAGCTAAGCTTTGAACCTTTTGAAGCAATTCGGAAACTCATGTGCGCCCGGAAATATCTTCCACTGAGCTGGGTTCCGCGCCATGTTCTTAATGATTCCCAGCTAGCGGAGTACTTCATCCTTGGCTACCCAACCTAGAAGCACAGGATAGATGAGGGATGTACTACAAGACATTACCTTGACCTCTGATCGACGTTTCGTAAGCTGACGACCGTGCGGTTTCTTCCAATGCGGCCCTGTGAGAGCGAATAGAGAGCCGTGGTAATCGATCGCACCGCATGCGTGGGACGTGAATCAAATAACTCGGTTGGCTCAGTGATATTAGCTTGTCTGGAGGGAGGCCCTTATTACCTAAGACGTCTAACCTCTTCGTTGCAAAGTAGTGTTCTCAGCACACACGAACTGTCTTCCGCAGATAACCGTTTTGAAGGCTGAAATCCGATGTGTCATTTAAACGAACCGGTCAATAGTTCACATCCATACAACAGTACCGCGCGTACACAGACATGTAGAATCTTTTCAAGTTTTAAACTTCACGACAGCACGACATATGCGATAGCCTTTCATATTTTAGCACTACAACGTGAAGCCTCTCTTCCCATGGTGAAATTACCAGAAATGCAGCTCTGTTGCGGATGAAACTACCCACTTGTTCAAGCTGCGCACCTTCAGGAATCAGTATTGGAGCAGATGATTGCCAATCCTGAGGTAGGACTTTGCATGTCGGTGGGGCGTAGATCATGCCATTCCGGTTAGCTTCAATTGACAAGCGGTTTAAAAAGACCCGCATACTCTGTGGGTTGTCACCGAGTATGGCAATATCTTCAGCACCGCCCAAGTCAGTTGCGC